AGCCCTTTTGTCTTTCTTTCTTTGCCCTTTTGTGCACGTCTGGTTTTTAATAGCGCTTGGCAGCTGGTTGTGGTTTCTCTCCTCCAGCTTTGTTTGCTGCCCGCTGATTGATTGCGATGCCTTTCCCACCCCCTGCTTTCTCCTCCTGCTTCTCGCCCTTCCCCAAATCCCAGGCCAACAGCAGCCCCCACCAATCCTCCTTCCCGGGCGGCATATGCCAGGAATTAGCTGTGTAAATAGAGGAGTGCGGCCGGGCGGGCAGCTTGGGTGCCCAGGGAGGAGGTAGGGTTCTGCCTGGCACCACGGGGACTATGCTGGGGTGGGCAGCGAGGGACCGTCCCCTCCTTGGGGCTGGCGAGAGGCACCCACCGGCACCGGCTCAGTCACCCTGGGCAGGGACGGGGAGCGGAGAGAAGCCGTGGGGGTGTTGTGCAAGTGGCCGGGGATAGCCACATGCTGTTGACACAGGTGGGGACGCAGTTGGCAGCCAGCGCCATGGGCAAACACACCTGCCTGGGCAGGGAGAGGCGCCGGGCAGCTGCTTTGGCATCCCTGGCTGCACGTGCTGGCCATGCCGACTAAAGTCTGAAGTCTCTGCTCAGATTGAGCCGTGCTGCACACCCGCTCCTCGTCACCTGCTCCTCTCTGTGCACCCACCTCGTGCTCGGGACGGCCCTTGCGTCACGCAAAATCCTCCTGCCTGCTGCTGCCCCATGGAAAAGGCGAGAGGATGGGGATGCTCAGCATGGGTGCTGGAGGGGACTGGGGTTTGCACCCCGGTGAGGCACAGCATTGTGTGCCGTGTCCTGCCAGAATGGCTTGGCACCCTTCTTGGTCTGAGACTGAGCATGTCATGGGCTTGCCTGGCTCTCTGGTGCTGCTTTGGGTTTTAGCGAGGAGGAAGAAGTCACCACCAGCGCCCCAGTGGGACCAATCCCCAGTGCTGCCCAGCTGTGCCGGGTGGTGTCCAGAGCTGCGTGGCCTCGACTCCTCAGTCCTCAAAGGTGCTTCGTCTTTTCTTTCAGACCTTCATCTTCACGGACGGGGAGGATGAGGAGCTGAAGAAGCAAGCACGTGAGTCTGTGGCCCTTGTCCCTTTGCATGCGAGACCTGGCCAGGTTCTCTGAGGACCCCCCACCTGGGGAGCACGGCTGGCGTGGAGCCTGCCCCAGGAATTCCGAAAAAATGGTCAAAATGCCACCGGTTAGACACTAACCTCAGGAGCCCTCGCCATAGGGACCTCGGCTGAGAATGAGACAATTTGTTTCACTGATGGTGCCTAAAGCACCCTCTGCCCCGGAGCCCCACCTGGGGACGGGTTTCCTTCCCAGTCAGCCCAGCCCACCTCCTGTATGATGCTGCTGGGGAGCACGCTAACGGGGTGGGGTGCCTTTGCACCAGTTTGTCCCTGGGGCTCACTGGGATTGATGGGCAACACGGCCAGGGTTTCATGGGAGCATTTCCCTGGCAGCCGGTCCCTGGGGCCAGGATCAGCTCGGTCTATTCTCCCCATGCAAATGACTCCTTTTCAGGCCGGGAAGCGATTGCCTTTGAGCTGGGCAAGCAAATAACAGGTGGCTGCTGCAGGAAAAGGCAGCGGGAATAGGCCAGGATTTTGGCTATCATGTGCTGGGTGGAGAAGCTGGTTCATGGACACCCCCTCGCTCCCGGGGTGACTGGTACATGGCCCCGGGATGGGCAAGGTGATGTAGGGCGGCATCATGCATAGCACACGGGATACAGCTCAACCCTGGTGCATCTGCTGCATCCGCACCCCTTGCTCCCTTCCCTTGTCTCATGTGGATCCAAAAGCCATTCCCCAAAAAATTCATTCGTTGCCCAAAATAATGTGGCATGGAGGCCACCGAGCATCAGGGACATCCATGGGGTTTCCATCCCCTGGTGCCCCTGGAATGTGCGTGGTGAAGCATCGCTGTTTGAGCAAGCAGGGGAGTATGGGATACCCCGGCACCGGGCTTTGACCCCCGTCTCTTCCCGCAGGAAACGTCATCAACACCAACTGCTCAGCCGCCCACAGCCGCCAGGCCCTGTCCTGCAAGATGGCCGTGGAGTACGACAAGTTCATTGAGTCCGGCAGAAAGTAAGCAGCACCCTAGGCTGCCATGGGGGACGGTGGGGCTGCGAGGGGGGGGAACACGACAGCGTAGGCAGAGGCCGTTCACATTTTTGGGGCCATATCTCAGCACGGGGTCTGGGGAGCTGCCCCAGCCCAGCGTGACACTGCTGCCGCCACAGGTGGTTCTGCCATGTGGACGATGACAACTACGTGAACGTGCGGACGCTGGTGAAGCTGCTCTCCAGCTACCCCCACACGCAGGACATCTACATCGGGAAGCCCAGCCTGGACCGGCCCATCCAGGCTACGGAGAGGATCAGCGAGAACAAGATGGTGAGGGGGGTCGGGTGAGAGGTTGGGGCTGGCTTAATTTGGGCTGGGGTTTGTTCCCCAGTCGGCAGGAGGAGGCCTCACTGCCATTGCTTCCCCTCTCTCGCAGCACCCTGTGCATTTCTGGTTTGCCACGGGCGGAGCGGGGTTTTGTATCAGCCGGGGGCTGGCGCTGAAGATGAGCCCGTGGGCCAGGTAAGAGCGTAGGCGTTGCTCTCCCGTGAGGACTCGTCATGGTCCCAGCGGGGCACAGAGTGGCAACAAGATCTTTGGGGATGGGCGCTGGACCGTGTCCTACCACCGTGCTCTCTTTGCCTTGGTGGGGGATTCTGCAGGGGGCTTGAAAACAAGCTGGGAAGGATCTCAGTTCCCCCAAGTGTAACTGACTTTTAATTAGAGCTAGAGCTGGGCACCCACTGGCCAAGCCCAGACCCCATGGGGTGCCTGCATCCCCCCAGGCTTTGCTCCTCTGCAGCTCCTCTCTGTCTCCCCGCAGCGGGGGCCACTTCATGAGCACAGCGGAGAAGATCCGCCTGCCCGACGACTGCACCATCGGCTACATCATCGAGTCTGTGCTGGGGGTGAAGCTCATCCGGAGCAACCTCTTCCACTCGCACCTGGAGAACCTCCACCAGGTGCCCAAGACGGAGATCCACAAACAGGTATCCCTGTCCTGGTGCCCTGGGGTGGATGGAGGGGTTGGGATGGATGGTACCGTCATTTGGTTTCATGTTGTCACCTAAAAATTGGGCATCACAGCTAAGATATTGATTGACGTGCTTCCAAAACATGAGCGGAGGGGGAAAGCCCCATCAGCCCATCCCTGTGGGGTGATGCAGAGCGTGACCAGAGGCTGTGGGAAAGGGGGTGAATTTTGCAGTCCCCCCCATGCCCCTGCTTGATCCTCGTGGCCACGTCGTCTGCTTGACCCCCCTGTGTTTCTTCCCCCCAGGTGACACTAAGCTACGGCATGTTTGAAAACAAGCGCAACTCCATCCACATGAAAGGAGCCTTCTCTGTCGAGGAGGACCCATCCAGGTGAGATGGGGGGGACCCTGTCCCCTCCGAGCCGGGATGCCGCAGGGCCGCCACCGCCCCGTGCTCAGCATCACTCCTCTCCTCCGCAGGTTTCGCTCCGTGCACTGCCTGCTGTACCCTGACACGCCGTGGTGCCCCGCCAATGTGGTTTACTAGGAGACGCGTGTCCCCTCCAACCTCGTCCCGAATTTCCCCGGTATCCGACGGGTGTGCGGGACCTGCGTGCGGGTGTGTCGGTCCAGCCTCGCCGTGAGGCGGACGGACGGACAGACGTCGTTGCTGTGGTATTGCACAGTGTGTGTGTACTGAAGGCTGCTGTGCGGCCCCTTGTCCCCTGCCCTGCCTGCCCTGCCTGCCCGGCTGCCCATGCCCGCTGCCTGCTCCGGCCGGGACAGTGGAGAGGGATGGGTCCTGAGCACTTAACCGTTGGGCACCCCCGCAGCGCTGGCGGGCCCCACGCCATGCGTGGGGAGTGACCGCAGGCGCTGTGCGGCTCTGCCTCCCCCGGGCTTGCTTCTCCTTTTTTTTTCCCTTTCAAATGTTAAATTTTTTGGTGTGTGCCTCCCCCCCTCGCCTCTAACCCCCACCCCGCTCCTGTAACTCCTCACCCTCCCCATCCTCTTTCCCAGCCCCAAAATCTCAGCAGCAAAGCTCCGGCTCCTGATACGGATGAAGGGTCACTGGCGACTTTTGCTCCCCGGCTCGGCGGGCAGGCAGAGGGCGGGCAGGGGAAGCCTCCCGGCCATGGCAAACACTGATCCAGGGTGCTGCAAAGCTGCTGGGTGCTCGACGGCCGCACTGGAGGGAGATGGTAGGGTGGGCTGCGAGCTGGCGTTGGCGTTAGCTCTGTTTCCCGGAGCTCCCCCCATCTGGCTGAACTGTTGCCGGCAGCATCAATCTATGCACTATTTATAGAGACTAATGTAAAGACTTTCTATAAATACGGGGGGCGGGAGGAGGGCTTTTCCGGAGCCACCGGTGCGGCATGGGCGCTGTGTTTGTACAGGGTCTCCCTTCAGTGCCGCCTCCCTGCCTGCTCACGGGCTGCCAGCAGGCAGCAGGTGCGGGCAGGCTGAGCGCGGGCAGCCCTGCACCTTTGCAAAGGAGCACTTCAAGGTCCGGCTGGAGGCTACACGGGTGTGTGTGTGTCCCCCGCCATGGGGCCGGAGCATCCTCCAGCCCTGGCCTGGCTGTGGGTGCTGTTGAGGTGGCCGGAGCACCCGAGAGGTGGGCACCCACTGCGGGCAGGCAGTGTTTCCCAGCCTGGCCATTGCTCTCTACCTGCCGGGAGCCGGGGAGGGATTTAGCCAGGGAGGGAGCGGGACCCCGCGTCCCCCCCCCCGTGGCCATCCTGCCTGCCGCCGCCAGCCCTGTGCCCCTGGGGTAAGCAGGCTGAGCCAGAGCTGAATGTTTCCAACCCGAAGCTGAGTGAAAATAGCCCATAATGGGTGCGTTGTAAATATGTTATTGTGCCAGTATTTTTTTTACTGTGCCTTTTTTTAAAAAAAAAAAAACAAAAAACACATTGAGAAATATGTAGATTTTAAAATGCTTTTTATACATTTTCTGTGGATCGGAAAAAAAAACCCCAACCTTCTGATAATCTGTTTAAGAAAGAAAAAAAAAAATTGCCGTGTCTTGTAACTATCACTTACCTTAATTTATATGTTCCAGTATCTGGAATGTCGCTCTGTGCTTTTTGTAACTAGGATGTGTTTAAAGCAATAGATGTGGGATGGGGAACCAGCATGGACAGTGTGTTCTCAGGGACTTGAACCCGATCGCTGCCACGGGGTTCCCGTGGGAGCTGTCACCAATAAAGCAGCTTTTTTGCTGACCAGAGTCACCTGGTCCTGGGCTCCGGTGTCTCTTTATGGATGGGCTGCGCTGAACACCCCTCATTCCCCCCATGGATGTTATCGCCTCTAACGAATCTCACAGGGATGCACCTGGGGATGCACCGAGGAGGGGTTGCGCCTGCATCCCTCTCTTTTCCCACGGGTACCGGGATCTGCTGGCCATTTGCATCCCAGGGTGCGAGGGTCCTCTCCTCCGTCCCCTCCCCAAAAGGCTCCGGCGGGGCTTGGCGCCTCGGGGCTGGTTTTTCCCAGGCTCTGGGGTGGGAGCGGAGGTGGCAGAGGCGAGGTGAGAGCCGGTTGTTAGCAGGGTGCTGTTAACAGCCGGCGGGCAGGCGTGTGCGTGGGAAGGTTGGGGGCTGCGGGGGGCCGAGCCCCTTCGCTCCCAGCCCTCCCTTTGCCCTCCGCCGCCGTTTTAGCCGAAACTAAGCACCCACCTGCCAGTAACAAGCTCCAGCTTTCATGGGCTGTGGCGACAGCGTAAGATCTACCCCCCTCCTGAAACCAGTCCTGTTTGTGCCCCACCAGTACCAGCTTTTGCCTGCGCCATCCTCTCCTCCCCCCGCCTTCCTCCATACCCAGCATCTTTTTTTTTTTTTTCTTTTCGAGGCACACACTTACTTTACAGTTTCGCTTGAATCTCGGTTATCAGGGGTTGGCCTTGCTAAAAATACAGCCTAGCAGGAAGTCGGCGTGTGCTAAAGCAACATCCCCCCCTCCTCCCAACACCCACACACCCTTCAGACAGCCCCAAAAATCAAAAGTCCCCCAAACTCTGCAGCCCTTGGGCTGCTGCGGGTGGGGGGGGGGGGGGGAGCGGCTCTGGCTCCCGCCCCAGGGAACCGAGCATTGCCCTGACCTGGCCCCCCAAAAAAACCCCACAGGTACCCAAAAAGCTTCCTGGAGAAAGGGAAGGGTGGACAGCAATGCTGCCTTCCCCCAGCACACGTTGATTGGGGCCAGGGACCATGTGGTGGGTGCAGGATTTGGTGCCCCTCGGCCCCCCCCACCCCCGCGTGGGGGTCAGCGAAGGGGAACTTCGTCAGGCGCAGGAAGCTGCCCCACCCGCCGCTCGCCCGCGTATTTTCCTATTGCTCACGGGGCTGTGGTTTCAGCAGCGCGGGCGCTTCCCGGCAGCGGTGCCGTCACCCTTTCTGCAGGCTGGTCCTTCCTCGGCACCCCTTGGGAGGGATGGGGAGATTCAGCCAGGATGGCACCCATCTCGCCCCAGGCAGGGTTGGGTGCAGGGGGTCTGTTTACTGCAAAACAGCCCAGATCTTGTGTTAAGCATCCACTGAGGCACCGGGGAGCCAGGGGCTGTGGCATGGGGCTGGGATTCTGCTGCAAGGAGCAGGAGCCCCTTGGCAGGGGTAAAGGCTGGGAGGGTGCTGGGCATGGTGCAACACCTGGCGGGGGCTTAAAAAAAAAAAAAATTAAAATTAAAACATCCCACCGAGCCTTCGGGAGCAGATGCAGGCAGCTCACCAGCCCTCCGGTTTGTCCCACACCAGGCTCCCAGCCTCTCCCTCCTCCCTCCCTACTCGTGGGCTGAAAAGTAAATAAATACATGCATTGATAAACAAAACGAAAACAAAAGCAAAGCCTGCTGCTCTCGCATACTTGGCGGGCTCATCAGGCCAGCCTGCTTTCATCTGCACCCTGGCGCTGTTGTGGGATGTCCTGTTTACTCTCGCCAGCTCGTGGCAGCTGATAAGGCGGCTGTACCTTTTGGAGAGTGCTGGTGTGTGATGGGGGGGGTGGGGACAAGCCCGGCTTGATGGGGACACTGCTGTTATGTAGGGATCACTGTTGTTGACACCATCGTGCCCAAGGGATACTCCAGCACCATGCCCGGCCAAAGGCTTTCCCGGTCCCTGGGTGGTTGCGGCATCAAAAGCAGAAAGTAACAAGCTGTTTTAGTCCTTTTTGTTGCTCCTCCACCTCCTTTTTTTTGGTTTTAATTTGCATTTGGGTCACTTGCTATCCTGGACTTTGTGTGAATCACTGCGTTCCCAGCCCAGCTGCAGCACGGGAGCTTCGTGGCGTGGGGACTTCTCACTGGGCAGCTGTGTCTGCGTGGCGATGGGACAAACACCCATTCTGACACTGACAGTGGTGAGAAATATTTGAGACTCGGGCTGGGAGGGGGTGTTGGGAGACAGCGAAACTTGTGTGAATCAGCTCCAAGCGCCGCTTCCAGCCGCTCTGGCCCAGCAAACTGGAATATTTGTGGGAAACAAACATAAAAGCAGCCGAATCGCAGGGCCTGAGCAATGCACAAAACGCTCCAGCTGCAGCTTTGAGACTCGCCAGTCCCAATGCTGGGAGAGGAGAGTGCTGGGTCCCCACGGGGGCATGAGCTGCACCCCACCACCTCTGTGCAGCTGGAGGCCATTAAATCGCCCACTAACATCGTCTGTCTCAGAGCAAGGGGCTGCAAAGCCCTGTGGCAGATAGTGATGGCTGCAGGACAACCGAGACGCCGTGCCACGGTCCCCAAACCAGCTCCCAGCCATTGCCCCACACCCCCTTATTTTTTCACCTTCCTCCTATTTCCCACTCCTGCATCACTTGCAGATGGTTAGAGGAAATACCACCCCAGCCCTCCAAAGTTTATTTTTCTCTTCCTGACTTTTAAGACCAGCCTTGAATTGATCAAAACCAACTCCCTCCCCCTGGCCTGCCCCAGGACTTGCAGCACCCACTGCTTCTGGTCTGCCTCAGCCGCTCAGCAGGGCCAGCTCTGCTCCTGTAGCCATTTGGCAAGGCAAGAGCAGAGGAAGAGATGAATTGAGCATCTTAAAAGCAGCTAGAAACACTTCCCACGGTGCTGCCGGACAAGACCCGTGAAGCGGCGGCACCGCTGCACAGCCCCACTCCCAACCCCTCCTTCCTCCTCCTCAGTGGATGTGTCCCCCTCCATCCCCCCCAAACGGGGGTGGCTTCACTGGGGGGATGGTGCCAGGTTTGTGCCTGTCCCTGCTGAGGGCAGGAGACTGAAAGCAGCAGTGGCACCACAGTGGTCAGTGTCGGGTGATGTTCTGACCACGTCCACATCAGCCCAAGGAGTTGGGGCCCCTTACTTAGAGGGACACAGGAGGGGCTGTTGTGTTAGGAAACTCCTTGGGGAGCGGGGGGGGCCATGCCAGCTCCCTGCCCAAGCAGCCTTCCACTGGCCCTGGAGCAGCAGCATTTGGAGCGGATCATGAGTGACCAAGTGATTCATGGGGTGTAAGCACCAGGTCCCGTGGTGCTCAGCTAGTGGGAAGAGGAAGCGGGCGGGAGAAGGGCTCCAGCACCAGCATCTGCAGCACCTCGCAGTGAGAAGGGAGCTGTGCTTCCTCCCACTCCCCTCCACGGACCGGGGAAGGATTAAAAATCCCTGAGCAGGGATTTTCGCTGAGGTCATGGTGAGAAACGCTGCCTGCTCCAGGCAAAGACCTTCCTGCCTGCAGCCAAGGCAAACCGCCCTGCAGTCCCGCATGCAGCAATAGAGACATCAGCCACAGAAGGAAAAGTCCTTCTGCTCCTGCCACCGCCCATCCCTTCTCCATTGCGTTGAACGTAATGGCACGAGGGCACGGCAGTGTGACCAGCTGCTCCGTCGCAGTGGTTGGACCTGTGACCTGAGGTGGCTGCAGCCAGGCCACCCTTCTTCCCTGCCCGGCTACCT